ATGACTATCATCTTTCATTCAGACTAGGGCCAGAGAGAACAACAATAATCCTTCGTTTCAGGTCAATGACTATTCACATACATTAAGTGCATCAATGCAATAAAGGTGCGGGGTTTTTAAACCGATTCAATGAGATTTATCGAGATGGCGTTTAAGGTAGTACCTTATTTAGTTCATGACGTTGCTGTGGTACGTGATAATGTAACAGATAACACTGTTACTCCTGATAACGTCAAAGATGACTTTGATTCGATTGGTTAATTTTCCGATAGAAGTATTGTAAAAATTAAGTTAAGCTAAGTAACAAGTCTGGTCAAAATAATGTTTAGGCTTCTGGGATTCGCACCTTATTATTTTGGAAAATCATTTTGTTAGTAAAAGATTTTTCCGTTTTTACAAACGAATGCAGGCAACACGGTCAAAGTGGGAACAAGACGATATGGCTCCCACCATGACTAAGTATCAGCTTAAACAACATAAACGCAGTTCAGAAAGAAACATAGTAACTCAATAAAGGCAGAAGAAATAGGAGCTCTAATAAAGTACAAAATGTATAACTTAAGTTACCGATAAGGAAAACCTACAAATATATACATGATGGGATTTTCACAAACAAAACCTTCAAAAATGGATCTTACAAGTGACCTGTATGAATTTCATCTTCTGGCTTGCCATTACTTTGTCTGCTTCACTATGAATGCCTTAATAGTGCTATGGTCATATTTCCAACTGCCTTGCTCCTCTTTCTTTTGTTTCATTAATTTTTTTCAGAATCTTTTAAGCATTAGAAAATCATGGGGCTTCTTCCTATGTGAAATAAAAGTCACAGCTTATACTAACTACCCTCTAATTGACAGTTTGTAACAGCGTTTTCTATCACAAAAATACTCCTCAAGTGAAGCTCCCTGAACACTGTCTTGTGAACCACTCTTGGATTCTGAGTACCACTTTAGAACTCTGAGGGTTACCAACCCTATTTATAATCACTTGTTGGGGTTGTCAATGTATGAAAATGATCATGACCATAAAGTGGCGTGAAATATAATTTTATTATCACAGTTATTTATATTTCTCACACTTGTGTTGCCAAACCTTCATTATTTACCCTTCGATAAGATCCTATTTGTAGTTTATTATTGACGGACCTAGATGACAGATATTTTACAGCAAATTTTTACTTGACTGGACGCGATTTTACCTCACAAAAAGGACCGACAGTTTTTTACTTAACACTAAACGGCGTCAAAACTCAATCAGCCTTTTGGTCCTCTTTTGTTAAGTCTTGTGGTTGATCTTCAGGTAACTTACAGATTCCTTTTTAAAGGATCTGATTAGGTGTGCTGTTTTCAAATACAAAGATAGAGTACCTGCCTTAGGGGAGAAATTAAGTTTTTTCGAAGGCTAGGTAAGAAAGTTTGAGCTACCATGCTTCCTAGAGTTAGCCAGAATTCCACCTGATTCGCTTTTCAACGAAGGCTTCCGTGATATTGTCTCACTCCTCACAGTAGTCGGAATATGTTCGAGGCGAGCCAATATACATATGCTTAAACAAATGATTCAAAATTCATACTGAATACATTAGGTGTATTTTGTGCGAACCTGTTGTTAAACAACTTACAAAGTTGTGCAGGCGCTCTTAAAGGTTTATCTTTGAACTGTAGCTAATCATAAATTTTAAATTGAACACGAAGCGATTTTTGAGATCACCTAGTAAAGTGCAACTCTTATTTTGTCAAATAGAAGGCCTTTCAACTTCTATTTCCCCCGCCCATTGAAAGTCTTCAATGTTCATAAATAGAAGCTGGACAGTGCCTCTGATCAAAACACTTTTCTCATGACTTTCTCATTCTAGATTTAGATTTGACAGCGACATACTCACAATAAGGGAAATGTGGTTCTTTGGTTTTTATAGGATTGATTAAGTTCAGACATGCTTTCAGATTACGGCGAATAAAATATACTGTTCTATTAACATCACTGGAAGATGAAGTCTCTCAACTAAAACTATGTAGTGGAATGTTAGAGTAAGACCATTTTGATGTGTGTAAAGTTTCTGAAAGAAATCTATAAGAACGACTGTTGCCGTCAGTATTTCGGTCCAAAAAGCTAGGTGGCTAAAATTTTTCGGAACCTGCCCAAAAATCCAAGAATATAAAGGGACATGGTATGTTAAAATCTAGTCCGATAAGGTAACTTTTCTGGTTGACTCACTGACTACATGTCCATTTATTTGATTCTGGTGTTTCAAAAAGTATTTCAAAAGAAGAAGGAACAAGTAATGAATGCATATCGAAGTCTTGGCTTATTGGTTTACTGATCATGACGAAAATATTTGGCTGAAATGTGTATCCAATGCATGATCTGTATTTGGTGGAACTGAATCAACCACTAACCCAGTTAATAGAGATTTATTTTTCCCGACGTTTAAGTGGTCAGTGGTTCCTCACAGTTTACCGATGATCCTGGGTTTACATTTGTGGTAGTCATTGTAGGGGGTCAGGTGAATGCACTATGCATTTTAACAGGGATAAGTGAAGTAATATAGGTCGAATCGGTGAGTGATGTAGTTAGGATTAATCAAAAACTTGAGAATGAATTATAGATAGCCTTTGGGCGATTTTGAAGTGACGGCTGTATCGACCGACTTATCAGGGTCAAAAGCAAGTTGAAAAACTAATACTAGTATCTAAGATTATAATCTGCGGTTGAATTTTAGGGGCCCAAATTAATGTACAGGTTTTCATCTCAAAATCTCATTAGCTAAAATGCCGAAATTCTATCTAACCATTTAGATGCATACATTTCACTCCGAAATCCAATACTTGCTATCTGAAACGTTATTGGTTCGTCCATAAGTCATAGTCTCGCCACTATTACAAAAATTTGGTGCCTTCAGCAAAATAGTAGTAGCCAAATGGATTTATATTTTATGGACATTTCTCAGGGTCTTTGAATTTTTTGATGAGGTAATGGTTTGTACTTGGGATTGCATCTAGTTCACACCTAATTTAGAACATTGCGAATGCCTCATATCTAATCGCCGGTGAAAGCGACTTTAATTATGTCCAAAGAGCAGTTACCTGGTTGAAATAAATTTTTTCCAACCTGAGAAAGGATTATAACGATTAGAACGATTTGGTCACAGTGAAAAAAAGATGGTATCAAACGACGTCCGTCAATTATCCCTGAAGCTGAACAAAATACGGCCGAACGTCACAATAGCAACAGTATGAACAGTAATGTAAATTCTTTGCAGGACTAGTCACATAATGACAAGTCCATGATTTTAATATCACAAATAAATACTGATCTCAGATGCAAATTCTACACACTGTTTTGTCTTTCAAAGGAGACGATGTCATTTCAGGAAGGGTAACAGTGAGTTTTAACTTTCTGACATATCGTCCATGAGATCGTTACAAAGTGGTAAATAAATTAACTAGGAATAAACTCAGGGTCGGCTTCCGTTTTTACAACTGAGCAGCCAGTGGTTGAAACGTCGAAATGGAAAGTGCTTACATGAGGTATCTGATCATTTACGAGAAGGCTTCATAACTAATGTAAGTCAGCCAACTTACTAATCTGATCGCTAAAGATTAAGGGGGGAAATTTTATTAAGTTATTTTCTCGCCGAAAGTTACTTACGCTTCATCTAAAATGAGTAAGTCCAACTATTAGGCGTTTCCAGAAGTGAAAGGTTTTATTTGTCGATATGTTAAAAAACAATGCCTGATAGTTATTCTTACTTTTCCAGTAATTTTTAACTTCCTTATTTTTTGCACTTTTCAACCTTACCAACCTAAGTATCCTCAGGAATAGCGACTTGACTTACAACAACCATTTTCACACTATTTTTGAAGACATAGGAAGTTGACATAGATATTCGTGGTTTAACAACGCTTTCGTCTGCCACACTTTTCAGAGTAAGAATATCAAGACCTAGTCAATTACAACGTTATAAATGAAGAAGAAACAACGTTTTGTCAAGGGATAGTTGGGATGTTGAGAAGTGAGTGATTTAAGCTGGTTAGTTGTTGCAAGAGGATGTAACCAACAATAATCTGGAACAGCTGAGTGGCCGAGCACATTCAGCTAAGGTCTATTCACTAGGGCTGATGGGGTCAGCATACAGCAAACAATATTAGGTTTCCTAGGAAGCAGTTCGTTTGTGTCCTAAATAGTAAGAGGGAATAATGAGTTTCTATCAAAGTATCGTTTCACATTACATACAGCCCTGAAGTTAATGCTACCGTTAAAAAACGGTTTTTATGCAAAAATCCTAAAGCCAGTCAAAGCAGAAATTATGAATGAAGGGATGAGAAGATACAATCTAATGATGATCGATATGTCGGAGTGTAAGCGATCTGAGCACTGCATAGCACAACACACTCATACAAAGTCTGGTGCAGATACTTGACTGAGGGGTTTCACTTAAGTTATATCCAGCTGAACTAATGAAGTCAGCATCAATATGGGAGACTTACAAAACTATTTATTTCATGGATTTATTCGCCACTATATTCCCTAGTTTTTGTCCCCAGCAATGCTCTAAACAGAATTTTCTCGTGGTCTTCCAGGCGTCTGAATGTATATATGCATTTGGATGTATAATAATCACTTTCCATAAGTTTGATATTTGTCTAAAATGACACTCATTTCGCTCCTTTGAACGGACCGAGTTTGAAATTAATTATAGTAGTGTGATGCACTTAAAGTAACAAAACTTATTGTTGCACTTCTGTCTGAAGGCATGAAAGGAATTTAGTTCTTTTGAGTCGAAGGTCTCCATGGACAGAAGATTTTTTACTTCGTATATTTCAACTTAACCGGTTGCACTTCTTGCTATACTACAGAGTTGCAACGAGTCCCTCTATACAGTGAGTATATAAAAGTAAACTTTTAAATTTATAGATAATACAATTAGTGACTTAGTTACATACTGTCAGAAACATTTTGTTCACTGCATCTGTAAACTTAGATTGTTAATTGTACGTTTGTTTCGACAACGCGCTGAACTCGGAGCAGAGATCTCGCGGAGTATTTGCATATCCAACTTATGAAGTAGGTCTTGTTCATTTGGTACACTCTGGATGCTGCTAATAAAAATAATGTCATTGCTTTGTCTCTTTAAAAAAATTCTTCCGCTCTCCAAAGACAGAATTTCTCTATCTAGAAATATTTTAACCAAAATGTTTTACGGGTTTTCAAGTAGTAACATTGAAATTCTAGAATAAAGACTCATTAGCATAGCCGTTTTACATGCGCAATTCTAGCGCAAAGTCTTTGACAGCCTCTCTTCGATTCGCTACAAACTTTTGTTGAACATTTTGGATTTCCAATATCCAATATCTTTTTCACGAGCTAGCATAAACCAGTTGATTTATTTGTGCTCGATTCTTGTTCTTTCGGTACGGTTCCAAGTTTCTTAGCTATTATTAATAGAGCAACCAGTCAAATAATAAAACAGCCTACCGTTTTTGTTTGGTTTATAAAAAGATTTATGCTATCGATTATTAAGTGGGTTTAGGAAGTCGTTGTCTTATTCGAGTTCACTCGTCTTGACCAGCACAAGTGTGCAACAAACTCTTTTCTGAATTTAGCATGAATAAATGCAAACCTGCCGTTTAAATGCTTCAAATGCGTATACATTACCTGTCGACTGCAATCTAAAATATATGCTGGGGCAGCACATATCAAATCATTTTCACTGAGTTCTATCAATGTTGACAGTATGGCTTTGTGTGATTGCAAAATCCAAAAACGGCTATGCATCATTTTGGTGGGGTTTTAGACGATTGTGTTCTAGATTATGATGAATCTTCTAATTACGAAACCTAGTGACAATCAAGTCTTGTTTTTCTTTCATTAACATTGAAGTACTTCTAAGATAAGTAGACTTTAGTGTTATTAGAATTGAACCATGTAGAACTTATTCATGTCATGGTAAAATGCTTTTGATTTCTGGTTTTCATGCCTCGTAAAAAGCTTAGATATGTTTTTGCTTGGGTTTGGGCAGCCGGACAGTATTGCAGTCCATTCATAAATTCTATCATTTTAGTAGCTCATAGATAATTAGGTCCCGCTCCGTACCAATGTTTCTTTTAAATAAGGTAATAAGAATATATATGTTGCGAACAAGTTAGAAAATGTCTTTCAATGTGTAAGACTGGAGAAATGAAAATTTGAACTGTTTTATCGTTTCAGAAAATCTCCTTTGTATAATGAGCTCTAGCGAATAACTATTTCGATAATTCATACTAATAGCAAGTTAGCATATACTCATCCCTGTCCACTAAGAACTAGTAATATTCTGTCGGCCAACATGTGTACACCGAAGTGTTTTTTTGTACACATGTTATAAATGACTCAGCATTCGCGCATAAATATCCACATTGGTCCAAGGAAATCTGGAACATTGTTTATGCTACAGGTAGATTGCATTTCCCAACCTTAGGCCTGTGTTACTCGTATTTTTTCACCAAATTTAATGTAATGCATGCTACATGCTCTTCACTTCATTGCTCTAAGTAATTTGATAGATCGTAAGCTATCTATTTGCTTAACATGTTATTCGAGGGTTTGACGGTTCTACCTTGACACTTAAATAAGCTTTATTTCTGTTGAAGTGGGCTATAGCTAAAATAAATGTGCTACTCCATTCATGTACACTTTTTGTATACCGATAACACTTTAATACTGCTACTTCTATTGGTACTCCACAGTATCGTATTGGAGTAAAGTGGGAATATCCCTCCAAGCATTTATGAAAATGTGAATTAAACGAATAATCCTTTTAATTAGTCCTAAATCATATTCCCACACTAGTATTAAAGACAGCAACACTAACTAATTGAAAAACTTTAATAACCGTACTGGTTCACTCATTTCATCTTTTTAAAGTATATTCACCTTTTATCTAAATAATTTGTGCCTAAAACATTAAATGTCAAGAATTTATTTCGTCTATGCCTGTCTTAAAAAGTTCGTTTCTTGACTACGTTACTGCTACTTATCTAGCTTCATATTTTATCAAACCATGAATTTAATGTCGCTACCAGTTTTCCGGCCAATAGACCATTCTTATTTCGACTACAATCATACCTAACGTCAAACCATTAGGTAATTATTGCATTTTTGTCCGGAAAATCTGTGAAATATTTTCAGTATCACCCTTAAATGTATTACCTTCTCTGAAGAAATAAACATGTCCACTCTTATTCCTTCTTTGTTTTTCCAGTTTTGCGAATTACATATTATGTTTCTATTACTAAACCATTGTAATGTAGCGTATTAAATTAAACTCCCAGCTTTTTGAATCGAAATATCTTTGTGGTGTGTACGTTTTACCTATCTTGTTTTTATTCATATTAGTTGATAGGGAGCAGCATACGTACTGTTTTGAAATGTTTTTGTTTGATTTCTCATGTTTAGTAGTCATTAAGTCAGCTACAACTTAAAACTTGGTACGTACATCAGTTCAAGTTGCTATACCACATTAATACTGAGCGATAGAATTGTCAGTTCAAATCCCATAGTAGTAGAGGCTGTAACAGTATTAGCAGTGATGGAAAAGATTAGGGATCGAAGATATGTTTACTAGACGAACAATTTCATGTACCATTATTTAAATATTCAAAACGTATTTCTATGAAATATGATGTACTATTTCGTTACTTTTTTCCAGAAATCTTACTGATCAACTTTACTGTTGATTGTGATAAGTATCATGTAATTCTCTCATTTTATGGATATCTGTTTTCATATTCTATTTCTCAATAATGCTTGAATCACAAGCATGTGGTTTATATGCTGCATCATCTGTATACTTGTTTAACGGGTAAGATATTGGCTTTACATATTGTTGAGTATTTTCTAGATCACATGCTCATATTTGTCATGTTTTACCTGATTTATTTTACAAATTACGCTAAGGTTGATGGAATAAATTGTGCTTTTGGTTTTCAAGCACACAGTGATGGTGTCAGAAGTAAACAGTGCACTGCTGATGTACGACATTGTTTGATTACACTCAGTCGTGACTCTACAAATGAACCTTATAACCCACATAGTTTTGATTGTTGGCCATGGCCAGAATTGGTAATTATTTAATTAAACCCGATAATATTCATATTTCATTTACTTAGGAAAACAAATGCCCTTCTGTTGATGGAGTATGCCACGTTCTTCATAAGTCTAAAGATGATTTACACGAAACTTGTTGTTGTTACGATCATATGTGCAATAATGAAACCTTGAAAATCATCCCTATGTCTGAAGATCTTGGTAAGTTTTCAGCAGTTTCGGCATTATATTAACGATATCTATCATTTTATACATGAACTTCCGGGAAGAACTAATACTACTGTAGGTAAGTACACAAGGTTAATACTGATACAATCACTGAGTTACACGTTCATCCAAATAAAGGTTTTCAAATAGGATGAAACCCAGGTTTCAATACGCATTAATGTCTGTCATTTAGATTAATGTTCGATGTCTGGCAATAGTAACTTATATGCTCAAAAGCTATAATATCTACGTCGTGTACAGTCAACACAGTTTATTTTTGCCTCTTTCGATCTGTTTTTCGTTTATCAAGTTTATTATGTTCATAACAACCGATGTTTAGATTGTATTACATCTAATTTTAATGTGGTGCGGTTTCATTACTGGTAAATTATTTGTATCTACATCTCATTTTAAATATTCCAAATGACCCACCATCAGCTAAGTCTATTTTTTTTTTAGTTTCTGTAACTCATCGGTGTCCTACTGGCCGAATTTCGTGGCATATTTACGTGTAGCGGTCATATGACTTCTTGGTATTTTCTCACTGAAAGTGCATAATTCTATTTAAGATTTTTTAATCGAACACTAGAGCTCAGGCAAAAGCTTATAGCAAGCTCTTAACTAAAGCATCCATTAAGACTTTCCCTCTTTTTAATCAATTTCGTCACGAATATGTTCCCAGAGGCAATACTTTATCCAAGTGCAAGATTCAGATTCTAAATAGATTGTTGATTTTATGGACCTCAGTTGGTTAAGGTGCTTGGTACTCGATTTATCACTGCCTAGTCGGGATGTACTTGACCTAACTCACTGGGCTCGAAAAGACTAAAGCTAAGTTAATGAAAAGGTCCCATCACTTCATTTGAATTCAATGTTGAGGGGTCTGGAATCAGTTATTCTGAGAGAAACATTCTTTTTTATTTTGCTTCCGGTGTCAAATACAGTAATATTTTATTATGCTTGTTTCTCAGTTTCATCCGTGTACTTCCTTTTTGATTATTCACTGTTGTTTGTAGTATTATTCCCACTACATGTACTTTTATTTCCTGTTGTGAAGCGCAGTAAGATAAACCGATGCAAACATGTTTTATGTTCTACTTTTCTGTTTCTTTATCCAAATGCTTTGGATTTCACTTGTCATGTAGTCTTGTTAATCTACCAAATAAATGCCTTTTGAAATTAGTGACCTTATTCGTCTAATATTTGATCGATTCAACAAATGATGATCTAAAATATTGTCATTTATCATTTCAGCCAATGTAAATAAAACATCGACTATTTGAAACGAGCTCAAACGTAACATGAGGGTTGTAAAGTTAAGTCGGTTCAACTGGTACTGAGCAGACAGGGCTGATGAACTCCCTTTTATGAATGATTATTATTATTTGAAAAATAAGAATCTACAAAAGTCCAATTACCATGGTCAACGACTAAGCCGTCAATGTGGATTTTTCTCGTTTACACAATTTCAATGATTTTAGTGTTCTAATTTTGTTTGCTAATTTTTGATATTTATTTTTAAAACCAACAAATACACTGTTCTACAAAACAGCACCCTAGAATCAAGAAACTGTTTATTCCCATGAACTGTTTGATGAAACACTACTATATTGATAAAATTCCAATAATTGTCAAGACTATTTAACTAAATTATTTTTTCTGTCATCTTTTGCTCATTAAATAGCGATTTTTTTTAATACCACTACTCTATGGCTTTGAAACATGGCCAGTGGGAGTAGAAAATATTCGTAGGTTGCTCGTTTTCGATCATAGGTGTCTCCGAAGCATTGCTCGTGTATCATGGGACAACCGAGTAAGCAATTCTGTTGTTAGGAAACGGGTACTAGGTAAGAATCGCAGGTCACTAGATGGAGTATTGAAACTTCATCAATTCAGGTGGTTTAGACATGTGTTACGAATGATTAACCACTGACTGCCTCGAAGAGCTATGTTTTGTGGTGTAGGAGTAGGTTGGAAGAAAGCTAGGGGTGACCAAACCAAAACATGGGAGAAATCCATGAAGTCACTGACAAGTGTCGACTACTTGGTTGGAGTCCACGAGATGATAATAATCGGTGGTTAGAGACGCAGAGCAACATGGCTCGAAACCGTTTGTAATGGTGCAGGTGCATTCATTCTTTATGTTCCCTCAAATACCAAACTTTTTAATTCCTCATCACTTTATCCTTTTAAGTTTATTTCACTAGATCCTACTTCTTGAATAATATCTTTTAATCCTAATCTCTCCGATTACTGCTAACACATACCTTTACTACCTCTACTACTATGGGATTTGAATTGACAATTATATCTCTGTGCTAATGTGGTATGGCAACATGAACTGATGTACGTACGTAGTTTTACGTTGCTATTGATTGATGATACCACAGTAATTCGTCTAAATATTGTTCAAACTAACAAGTTTTAATCTGTTGTCTTTTGACCGGTATTTGAATGTTTTTTTCCCAACTAGGAATAGTGTATTCAATAATCTCAGTGAGTTACTTAGGCTTCTATGCTTCACTATTCATTATCAATCATTCGGTTATGATGAAACAGTTAACTATGGATAATGCGATCATTCGAATTATCATAACTTTTATTTTGCATATTGGTTCTTTTTTGCTGTTAATTGTGTCCAAGTAATTTAAGATGAGTGTAAGTGTAACATATTTACTCCTTATAGTGCCATAGTTACCATAGTTGCACTCTTATGTTCGTCTTCGGTGTTTAGATAGAATTATATTTTGAAGTAAGCCAACATCAGCGTATGCTCTTTTCTTCATCGATCAGAACGGATATAAATACGGTTCGTAGTTTCACTCTCAAGGCTTAAATGTTTAGTTCTAAGTTCTCTTTATATTCGAATGTATTATAACTGATTATGTTCACTTTCATTTCTTATTCTCTTCAAACGTTCGATTTCATGCCTCTCAAAACTCTTTTGATTCTTATAGGCTCAGGTGATCATCACAAAAGTGGTCTTGATCACTTTGGTTTACGAGTTCCTGACAGTGATTCAAATGTTATTGTAGCATCTCAGGACTTTCCAAATTCGGATGTTGTTTCTCCTCAGCGTTCAGATTCTTACGAAGATCCTTCAGATAAACGATTACAATTAGATGCATTAAGAATATTTGTTATTTGTGGAATATTACTGTCAACTATATGCACAGTCATTTTACTTGTGTTTTGTTTATCTCCTCGATATAAAAAAGTTCGGATGAAATTTTTCCTTGCTTGCAATCATTCATCTCCATCTTCACAATATTTTCAGAATAGTTTAGACAATCGTGTTCATGGTACACTATCAATTGTTGACTGTTTTCATTGTCCAAAAAGTTCGTCTTTCAAATCATCTTTTGCCGGTGATTGTGTTGTGACTTATCCTGTACAAAATTCTGAGATTTCACATCACAGTATTTCAAACGGTGATCATTTACATCCAGGTGGTTCATGTATTGAATCATTAAGTAGTGGATTTGTTTTCTGTGATATATCGGAAACTGAATCATCGAATGCTAAAGAAATAACTAATTTGCAGGTTAGTAAATAATACACTTGCATTACACATGCATATACACACTAACGTTACTTAAGATTTTACCTCTGTTTGTGATATTTCTGGTAAGCATAATTTTTCTACAAACTGGGTAAATGAACACACAATACAATAATACATGAATAGAAATGTTTCATAGGTAAATGTAAAACAATCAAATTTCTGACCGTAACACAAGCAATATCATTTAAAGCCTAATAATACATGAATTTTTACTCAATTTCTTGGTTTTTAGAAGTCAGATAAAGGAAAGTTGAAATTATTGGTATAGAACTCGTGTGAAACATGACCTCTAAAGATAGCAGATATTTGTAGGTTATTGGTTCTCGATCATAGTTGTCTCCGAAGCATTGCTCGTTTATCTTGGGACTATCGAGCAAGAAATGCTGTTGTTAGGAAACGGGTACCAGATAAGGGTGGCGAATCAATTGATGAAGTAGTGAAACTTCATCAGTTGGGACATGTGCTACGAGTGCCCAATCACGGTGTAGGAGTAAGCCGGAAGAAAGCTAGGCGCGGCCAAACCAAAACACGGTAGAAATCCGTGAGGTCACTCACAACGTTAATAGAATTAGACTACTTGGTTGGGATCTGCGGGATGATAGTAATCGATGGTTAGAGACCTTAGATAACATGGCTCAGGTGCATCCATTCCTTGTCTTCTCTCGAATTCTAATATCAATTCTTGATGACCCTTTTCTTCTTTGAAATTTATTTAACTGGGCCGTACTTCTCGAACCATATCTTCGATTACCGCTAATATTACTACAACCTCTACTACTATGGGATTTGAACTTACAATTTCATCTCTGTGCTAATGTGCTATGGCAATTTGAATTGATGTAGATACCTACCAAGTTCTGCGTTCTAGCTGACTGATTGACTGAAGTGTACAATTCTCATTCAAAAAATTGTTTAATATATATTTCTATTTCGTTTTAAAATGTTAGATGACTTGAACCCCTACATACACATGTGTCCACAAACTCAAAACCTTATTCATTGTACAGATTCTGTAATCAGGGGAAATTGTTTAGTTAGTTACTACATCTCAGAATTCAACAGATATACATTTTGCATTGTTTGGCTATTTGATTCTGTGATATTGATTTACACTACTCATATTCGAGTTACAAATTTGTGTACACTTCATTGTGAAGCACATTGTGTGTAAAAATAGGTGGAACGAGACTCGAACCCGTGAAATTTGAACATTTCGACCACTCGTGTGCTGTTACGGGTATGAGGGCGGTTGTCACTTCCCGGCTGCCCACACCGTGGAAGGGTGTTTCTTGAGGGACCTGAAAAGGAAGATAGATTAGTGTTGGTCTTGGAGACCTGGGAGCGTGACCGCAGAACCCAAGGGACAACTGCTTGAGGTCGGTCACGCACAGTCTTTTTATGAAAGGTTTTTTGAGGATTAGCTTCGCTCTTAAAGGCCCTTAGTGGGCACCCTTACCCAAGGAGACGGAAGACCGTGAGGTAGAGTGAGGTGTGACATTTTTAGGGTCGACCTTTTCTAACCCTTCCTTCCTTGTGAGAAGGCAGCATCGCCGCAGATGCTGGTTGTCTGAGGGAAACACCTTACTGCTGTCACACCCCTCCATCACAGTCAGCAGTACAACTTCGCCCTCAGACCTTGGGTTGCTGCTTTTAGTCTCATCGTTCTCCAATCGACCAGCCTGGTATGGTAGAACCTTCAGGAACATATGTTCCAGCCAATATAGCTTGGTTGGGTCATCAAGATAGGCAAGCCCGACCACCACGTCAAGGTAGCAGCTACGGTCAGGATTTCGACCACTAGGACACTACTGCCCTAGTACACTATATGATTATTCCTGAAATATAATTAGAAACGTAGTATCTTTTTATTTGATTACATTTGGTTACTACATTCATCATTTATCTTCGTCATCATCATTTTTTCAGTGTTGCTTTAATTGTTTTTGTGTGTGTGTGTGTGTAATCTTTTTTTTTCCTATCAGCTTGTAGCCAAATTATGTCATAAAGAAAAATTAATTGGTCGTGGTCGTTTCGCTGAAGTATGGCTTGCTAATATTCCTTTCCCATTATTTACACATCAATTAAAAATAACTGAAGATTTGTTAAATTATCAAAACAATAATAATAATAATCATGATGATGATGATGATGGTAGAAAATTTCATCAATCAAGATCAAGAAATGGATCTTCTATTATTCTAAGTCATAATTCCAATAGAAATAATTCATCTTGGCATTTGTTATGCTGTCAACAGGATAATAATAATAATAATAATAATAGATGCAGTACAACAACAATACCTAATAATAATAATCTATTGAAATGTTTCAATACATCGAATATAACAACAACAACATCATCATTTAATTTTGTTGATAGTCATCCAAAAATTTCTTTGGATTATTTATACAGGTTTGTTAATATTTTTATAGTTTATTTTTAATATTTAAGTGGATGAAATACAGTTTTTGTTGTTGTTGATAAAAACTATTTCATGTTTGACCCTGGAGAATCTCCAAATTAATTGTTTGGTTTATTTGCAAATGTAAATATTGAATGAAAAAAAATCTTAGATAACATCATCGTCTCACGAAACAGTACTACTATTTACCATTTTCGAAAACAACTTATCTTGGTAATTGCTGATGTAAATCAGTGAACACTATTAGAATCAATCTATATTAAGGCTGTAAATCTTTATTAATTGACGTGGGTAGTTAGGATATGTGTTACGCATGCCTTTATCACACTGCCTACCTTGACAAATGATGCTTACTTTTGTGAGTGTAGGTTGAAAAAAAGTTGCTCATTATCAAACCACAATTAGGCATCATTACATGAACTCATTGACATGTTCCCAGAGGCAGATTAACTGGTCGGGTTTGGAAATTGTGATTCAGAATCATCTATAGTGGTGTAGATACATTCATTCTTTATGTTTCTCTCGATCTCTTTGTACATTCATACCCACTTGTCTAATATGTCTGTCTAAATCATAGAAATCTAGGATGTAGGTGCATCCGACTAACTAGTCCTGAATAAAACGAAGCACACGTTCTTGTATTCCACTGCTAGCCATATTCCATCTTTTCTATACAAATATGCATTACCAAAGTCTAGTCTTTTTATTTTTCCTTATTACTACATTAAGTTATTGGGGCTGTACTATTGACAATTACAACTTATGAAAAGCAAATCAATATCGATTAGGTTGAAATTCTGTTTTTTTTTTGATGTGACTACTGTTCATTGAATATTTTAATACATTCTTACTATTATTAGTATGTTAATGATGGATGATACCCAATGGAAATATTTTAATAGTTTTCTTTTTAAATTAGTGTATTTTGATTGATTACTCTTGATTAACATGAAAAAAGAGACCTCATCTACCTAACTGATGCTTTTACTGTAGTTAGTGGGGCAGAAAAAAAAGAAATAAAAGAGAAGTAGTTTTGTTTACGGCATTAAAGTCCGAGTAACGAAATTATTAATAATATAACAGTACACGAACATATCAGTTGTTGGAACTGAGGTCAACGCCAGGCTTGTATTGTCTAACAAATTTATTTACTTCTGTTCAGCTAGCGAAGAGAATAACATACGATCACTAACTTATTTTTTTTGCATAAAATACATGATACACTTGCATATTATCGTAGTTAGACGGTCATACACTGCTATGAATGAACATAAGACCTTGAATCGCAAACAAAACTCCTCCAAGATTATTGAAGTAAAAAACCTGTATAGGCAATGAAGATTCAGTGTTTTGTGGAAAATAAGCTGAATTCGTACTGATTAATACTTGACTTTTTAAAATAATCCATTCTGTCAGTTTTGTTGTATTTCATTCCCCGACCCTAGCTGCTACCTTGACGTGGTGGTCGGGCTTGCCTATCTTGATGATCCAACCGAGCTATACTGGCTGGAACGTATGTTCCTGAAGGTTCTACCATGCCAGGCTGGTCGATTGGAGAACGATGAGACTAAAATCAGCTACCCAACGTCTGAGGGCGAAGTCGTACTGCTGACTGTGATGGAGGAGTGTGACAGCAGTAAGGTGTTTCCCTCGGACAACCAGCATCTGCAGCGATGCTGACTTCTCACAAGGAAGGAAGGGTTAGAAAAGGTCGACCCTAAAAATGTCGCACCTCACCCTACCTCACGGACTTCCGTCTCCCTCGGTAAGGGTGCCCACTAAGGGCCTGTAAGAGCGGAGCTAATCCTCAAAAATCCTTTCTTAAAAGGCTGTGCGTGACCGGCCTCAAGCAGTTGTCCCTTGGGTTCTGCGGTCACGCTCCCAGGTCTCCAAGACCAACAAAAATCTATCTTCCTTTTCAGGTCCCTCAAGAAACAACCTTCAACGGTGTGGGGCAGCTGGAAAGTGACAACCTCCCTCATACCCATAACAGCACGAGAGACCGAATTGGTCGAAATCAAATCCTTCCTACACCCCCTAATACCTCTCTTATCTCCATAACTAACTCTACTCACATTCCCTTATCTGACTGCACCGCTAATGCAAACGATGCGACTTCACGGAACGTCATTCCCGGTCTCTTGAAACCCCGTTCTAGACTATGTGCTAGAGCATTTAATGTACGGACATTGTGTCAAACAGGGCAACAAGCTTCCTTAGCTAAGACTTTAGAATCCCGTGCCATCGATGTATGCTGCGTCTCGAAAACGCGCACACAGTATCCTAGTAAAATTATTAATCTGATTTCACCTTGTCAAAATAAAGAAGCAGCTCGATTTACTCTTCGTGTATCTGGAAGCCCTGATGCTGCTTCCCGGGGTCTTGCTGGCGTAGGGATAGCATTGAGCCGTAGGGCTGAACAATCTCTCGTTGACTGGATCCCAGTAAATAGTCGCTTGTGCGCTGTCCGACTAAACGGAACAGTAAGGATTCGGAAAGATAGGGACACCCGTCGTTGCCTCTTCGTCGTATCTGCATACGTCCCCACTGACTGCAGTTCAGACGAGGTTAAAGACGAGTTTCACAGAAAGCTTTCGGACGTCCTCCAAAAAGCTAGGCGCTCTGATATAGTTATAATGGCTTGTGACTTTAATGCTCAAGTAGGTAGACTAAGTAAAAATGAAAGACACGTGGGTGGATGTTATGGTGTCGTGGCTCAGAGAACAGACATTGGTGACCGTCTGTTGCAAGTATGCTCAGACAACCGCCTCTTCTTGGCAAACACTAACTTCAGGCATAAGGAAAAGCATCTGTTGACCTGGCGACCTCCAAAGTCGTCTCAACGTTGGACCCAACTAGATCACATTTCCATCAGCCACCGATGGATAGGTTCGATAGAAGACTGTCGCTCGTTGTGGGGCACATGTTTAGATTCAGATCATGCCCTAGTGCGAGCGCGTATTTGTTTGAGGCTTACTGGACGTAGGAAAGACACCGTAAGAAAGCCTCTTAGGGTTTTACTTAATGATAATAAGGCGAAGAATATATTTCAGGAACAACTAGAAAGACAGTTAGGCGACCATCTAAGCGATTCCCATCCGGAGGCAGGTTGGAATGATATCAAGAAGGCTGTGGAAACAGCAGTGATATCTGCTAGTAAGGTTGACCATAAAGCTAGAATGAAACCGTGGATCTCAGTAGCATCCACACATCTGATGGATGTCCGAAAACTCATCCCACCTGGCTCTGAACATGATGAAGAACGAATTCAACTTAGGCGCAGACTTATAAAAAGCCTACGTAACGACCGCGAACAGTGGTGGGCGGCGAAAGCAAAAGCGATAGAAAAGGCAGCGGCGATAGGCAACAGTAGACAACTTTTCCGACTTATCAAGGAAACTGGTATTAGGATTCCTAGTGTAAGTGAGACTATCTGGGTAATTGATGGGACTATTATTTATTCTCAATCCAGGAGACTGGATCGATGTGCAGAACACTTTAGGGACCAGTTCAACTGGCCTCGAGCCACTCTTCGGTTACCCACGATCTCCAGTCATCCTGAATGGCAAATCGATTTAATTCCTCCCAGTCTACATGAAGTTGAGAAAGCTATAGGAAATCTGAAGCGATGTAGAGCAGCAGGTCCTGATAGACTGACCCCTGAGATATTTAAGGATGGTGGTCCAGTTTTAGCAGCTAGGTTGATAGAATCTGGGAACTGGACACAATCCCATCCGACTGGTCTCAATCACTGATTGTCCCAATCTAGAAGAAAGGTTAAAAGTCCTCTTGTGACAATCACAGGAGAAAAAGTCTAACTAGTAGGTTGGAAGAAAGTTAGGGGCGGCCAAACCAAAACATGGCAGAAATCCATGAAGTCATTGACTAGTGAACTTAGCCATGTCGGTAATTGTCGACTACCTGGTGTGGGTCCGCGAGAAGATAGTAACCGATGGTTAGAGACCTTGGATGATATGGCTCAAAATCGTTTGCGATGGCGCAGGTGCATTTATTCTTTGTGTTCTCTCGAATCCTAATCTTCTGGATTCTTCAACACCTCTAGTTTTGACTTTCTTTTTGGATTTGAATTGACAATTGTATCTCTGTGCTGATTTGGTATGGCAACATGAACTGATGTACTTACGTACACAGTTCTACGTTGCATCTGACTGACTGATTGTATTTCATTCAATTAAATATTGTATTACAAGTAATAACTATCATAGAATGATTACATTTCAAGAGGAGTTCTCTTATTTAGTATTCACTGAATTGTTATAGTCTGTGTAAATGTTTATGTATGTTTGCGCATATGAATTTCATGCTCATTTTTGATTGGTCTTATTTTGCTTTTGATTGATTGATTGATTAACTCTCAATGCTTATAAGCGTATTGACTATATATACCTATATATTCAATGCCTCTTTCAATGATCCACACATAAAGTAGGCTTTTCTAAAAATGAAACGAAATTCTTTTAAGTCTGTCGTTCGATCAATATAGAATTGTATGAAATTCTTCCCTTCTTCTCTTCATGTGTATGATATGTATGTAGGTGGACTAATAATAATGATAACTCTTAAAAAAATACACAAAGTAGTTTATAAATTATTCAGTATCTTATTTGTTAATATATTTTCATTACTATACTATGTTCATAATTAGATTGCGTTTAAATAATCTTGTTCAATTAATTGATCATTGGTCGTTATTATTACACGTTCAATACTGTTGATCTTTCATGATACTGATAATTTTTGTTGCACATAGCGGATAATCATTAATAGGTGCCTACATTACACCGACTTTTTAAGATTTTTCATTAGTATAATCCATTATGACAACCTTGTTTCGTACAAATCATCTCTCTAGCTTTAAATAATATTTACTGTACGTAAAACATATATTAATCACGATAAAATTGTAAAATATACAGGACACAGTTGTCTACTAATCTTTAACCATCATAACCAGTGATCGGAGACGTAATGATGTGCAATGGCGCAAGTGGATTCATTCTTTATTGCTCCCTAAATTCTAAGCTTTTGAATTCCTTATAACGTTTTTTTAGAATTTATCTTACTGATTTAATAAAAAAGAAGTTTGCCTTACTGATTTCGAGTAAGCAATGCTGTTGTTAAGAAATGGGTGCTAGGTAAGGATGGCAAGTCAATAGATGAAGTTATGAAACTTCATCACTTGAGATTGTTGGGACATGTGTTACGTATGCATAACCACCGACTGCCTCGAAGAGCTATGTTTTGTGGTGTAGGAGTAGGTTGGAAGAAAGCTAGAGGTGGCCAGACCAAAACATGGCAGAAATCCATGAAGTGACTGACAAGTGGACTGAGTCGTGTTGGTAGATGCAGACTACCAGGTTGAGGTCCGCTAGATGATAGTAATCGATGGTTAGAGACCCTGAGCGACATGGCTCGAAACCGTTTGCAATGACGCAGATGCACTCATTCTTTGTGTTCTATGAAACTCTAACCTTTTGAATTCCTCATCACTTCTATCTTTCTATCTTTCTAAATTCACCTCACTGAATTATACTTCTTGAATAACATCTTCGAACCCTAATCTCTCCGATTTCCTTCTGATACTTTTACTACCTCTACTATTATGGGATTTGAATTAACAATTATATCTCTGTGGTATGGCAACTTGAACTGCTGTACTTACGTGCAAAGTTCTACGTTGCTGTTGATGATGATGCCTTACTGATTTATATTTTCTTGAATCCTGTGTTTGATTCTTAATCTTTTCTATTAAAACTGATGTTGTTACTATCTCGATTACTCAGAAATTCGGCTTAACAATTTCAACTCTCTGTGGTATTGGGTTATAACAGCTTGAACTGATGTACATATGAACCAAATTCTGCGATGCAACTAACTTTTGATATTTTCACCCTAATGCTTTGTTTTAGTTCTACCACATTACTGGGTTGTGAACAGTGTTGAGCTACTCATTGAAACCATGAATCGATCAATGTTAGACCACTATTAGAAACCTGGAAGCACTGGACGGCTGTTTCGTCCTGGTATGGGATTTATCAGCAGTGCGCATCCACGACTCCTGTACCTCGCAGGATTCGAACCCGGGACCTTCGGTCTTGCGCGTGAACGCCTAACAATCGGACCACTGAGCCGGTATCTAACGGTGTTAATGTCTAACTTCTATCAATTCATGGCCTTGCGCAACCTCATACACTTGTCTTTAGTATAAATATGGCTCAAATAAATTAATGGCTAGATTCATCATATTTCTTCGATTTCTCAGGGTACATCATTGATGACCTTTGCTTCAAGGAACAAGGCAGTTATATGTTGGTTCCTGACAGTTAAATGAGAAAAGACTAAATGTGATCAGAGCATGTTTCGGAAATACTCTATAAACTCATTATGGACTATTGGCTTACTGGTTAAAGCATTCAGACCCGAACGCTGATCTGCTTTCTTTTTGGAAAACCTGGCAGTATCGTTAGCCTCTAACTAAACACTGACTCAAAGCTTGATTTTATCAACCTGTACCTGTCGACTGAGTTCAAATTAATCAATTTATGTGTACAAGGATTGGTGGCACTTCATCTAAGCTGATGAAATGTACAGTTTAATCAATAATTCACAGTTCTTCCCGTAATGGCGACACATTATCAATACGCAAGAAATCAAAACTAAACATTACATTAGTTAACTTAAAATATACATATATATTATTCTTTTTTGATACGATATCATTTTCCATCCAAATTTATGAATGCTATCTTTATTTCCGGATTGTATAAAAGTCTAATTTTTAAACTGTTTGACTTAATTACATAAACCGTTGTATATTTTCATGATTTGTTTTATTTGAAGAGTGAAAAAAGCATCATACCAACGGAAATGACTAGGAACTTAATTGTCAATTTCTTAAATCTATTAGATTCCAACTCTCTTATTTACTTAACAACAATAGTATCATAGAAAAAGACGATTTGCCTTGTAGTTAGTATATTTTATGCTGAGCTCAGTTTTGTCTCGAATCAAATAAGCCTGTACTTCATTGTTATGGTGAAGTGCTGTAAGATTCTTGTTGTAAGGCACACATTCAAATCGTTAAAATTAATAAATAGAATACCAGTCGGTCTGTAGTGAACGAGAACACAGGTGGGGCAACCGAATTGTATTTAACGAAAATTACAGAGTTACTCAGTAAAATTGGAAAACCATATCGTAAATCGTTAATTTGCAAAATAACAGTTCATCATATCGAACTGGACTGTTCCTGTTGCAAAACATCAATCCATTGTCACTATTCATGCGTTTCATACAAATTCCATTGTTTTCTAACTCTTCCTTTCTTGATCTTCCCCCATGTTCTGCTGCCAGACATTACGTTGACACTCACGTCATATACTACTTATAAGTAGTTCGCACCACAGGTCGACAGCGTACATGGATTCTATGTATCCAACAAATAGAGTTACTTATGAAACCGGAGTATCGCCATAAAACTTGTAAAAACACTTATTTTTGGCTTGATATTTGCTCGTCAATTTCTCCAAATTGTTGACTTTTATTATGGAAGAGACCAAGAATGCTCACTCACTTGTGTTTTTCATCTGGTGGAAAGTTATTTTCAAACTAGTTGATTCCCTAACAGCATTAACTCTATCAACATCCAGTCAAGGTGCTCCAGAGAATATAATCACAGTAATTTAGGAGGAAACCTTTACGGTTGTAATGGACCACGTTCGACAGAGGTTTTATAGTTTATCCCATTTAGACTGAAATCGAGTAGTTAAAATCTTTCCGTTGTCTTTTCCTGTGAATGATAGTTGCAATAACTTGAGAAGAATTCCTCAACAAACATGCGTACAACACAATACTTAAAGTACTAAGTACTACAACATGAGAAGTGTACGAAAATAAGTTCCGTTTATCTCTCCCTCATTATCAGCTACATGCTATACACCAACATACAGAAGTTATAAAATCGTTAATCTTAGCAGCGTTATTTTGGGGGTCTGATAACTCCACACCCTTAAATCCATTCTAGTTTAATTGAAATTCATGTTTTAATGTGAAGCTGCGACATCTTTTCTACTTCATGCTCTGATCTTTTTTTTTCATTCCATTCGTAAATACTCAAAATTTAATTCTCTTTTCACATTTATCTTAAACTCAGTGAGAAGAGTGAAACTTCAATCCCATTGAATAAACAAATGAAAAATTATTCAGATGTTAAAGAAAATGCACATCATACAGAAACAACTACCTCTCCTTTATTACTGTCAACGACAACAGTTTCATGTATTGATTTAAAAAATAATTCACTAACAAATAGTTTCACCATGAATGATGAATACCTTATACCTGTGGCTGTGAAAACATTCACTGCTAATGAATATGATGCATGGAAAACAGAATTGGGAATTTTTAAAGCTATTCATGCAATCAACAACAACAAACGATTACCTACAATTATTTCTAGTACTACAACTAGTTCTGTTGCTTCAAGCATTATCAATACAATAACAACAATGACTACGACAACAACAGCAACTACTGCTACTACTAATACTACTGCAACAATCACTACTACTACTACTAATAATAATAATAATAGTAGTACTGCTACCACTGACACTGTCAATACAATGAACGATGTAAATTCCTACAGTATTCAATGTATACATCAAATGTTAAGACATATTGGGCATCCTAATATTGTTTTACTATTAGGAGCAGGATCGGTAAGTTTTTAGATTTTCTTCATGTTCATCATACATTTTTATGCTATATTAATGACATGTAGTTTTTTGGTTATGTTGCCTAGATTGAATTTTTTTCCCATGTTACCAAGAGTTTTTGATTTCACTTGGTCAGTGATTCTCTCTTTCGAGTTATATCCAATGGAGATTTGAAACTTCAACGAACAACCATCTTTTCATCCAACTATTTCGATGCAGTATTCATTTATTAGTATTTCTTCTCATTATTTACTTAAACATATAATAATTGATATAAAGGAGTACATAAATATTTATGCGCCTCACAAATGGACGAATTTGTATGTAGACTTGGATAGTGTCTATATGCCCAATTCAAAGCATGTTGTTTCCCTAGACGGCCACTCCCAGTGCCTTTGACCTACAGGTCTAGTCGACAAGGCAGTGGGACAATCTCAAGAGATGCATTCCCATGGTAAACGGTGACCAAAAATATGTACATTCGCCGTTTGTTCCCTCAGGATATTAGAGTCTATATGCACCATTGTTTGAGAATCAGAGTTTTCCAACTCTCGTAGGGGGATCCTCCGTACCAACCGACCCGGTTTTCGTTCTCTCAATTTCATAAACATCACTCACCACGAGAATTCAGTTGGTATGGCATCCATAGCGTAGGCTTTATGAGAGCGATTCGGGTGAGACAAAATTTTCCCCAATATCGACCGTACCATGGTATTTGGGGGCTAATTATGCTTTAAATTTTCTAGACAGTACTATCGTCGTAACAGCAGTAAAACTGATTGTTTATGCTTTGAAGATGCAAAATAATACACTTCTTTAGACTGCTAATTCATATCAATTGTCAATTGGTAATGTTACAGCGGTGGATTTTTAAATAAGTGAATTCGCCAATATATGGTACGGTTCTTATCTAGTGTCAACCGGCTTGTAGAACATGTAACCCTTGTGTTAATGTCTCTAGCCTGTACTTGTTTTTCCCACTAGTTTCTTTTTTGGTTAACATCAATGCGTTATTGGTTCATGTTTCCGTCAGTATATATGTTGGCAGCAAAATATCTTACCGTTGATCTGCTACAGTAAATAGCCTCAAATTACGTGTTTATTTTACAGCTATCTCCAGATTTCATTGAGGAAATGATCTTATTCTAATCCATTAAAAATTGTAACATCTTTGTTGTATAATTTACAATACTCATAATATTCCCGACCATAGGTGTTACTTTGATGTGATGAGCCTCCAGTTAAGTTATATCGGCTCATTCTTTTAAGTCCTACTGTGCCAGGCAATTTAATTACAGAGCTATTTAACTAAAAGTAATACACTAAATTTCTGGGGCTGAAATCATACTACTGATTATACAAAGGCGTAACAACGGCAAGGTGTTTTCGTCGGGACAACCAGCTTTTTCGGCATTGCTATCTCTTCGTAACAAAAGGAGAGTTTTCCAAAATGTCGACCCTAAGAGAACACGCCTCACTTGATTTCTGACAACAGCTGTAAAGTTTGTCAATCACAGTACTAACATTTCAAGAGTTATTCACAATACCAACCTCAAGCAGTTATCCTGACGTTGTCTACTGAAATCGCAGTATCTGTATAATATTTTATTATTATTATTATGGTCGTCCTAGCTATCAATGTCACATACTTCAATGTTGTTTCCTATTCGACCTAAATGTATGCATAAGCATTATCTGTAACGTTTTATGACCTGGAACTGGATCCCTAGTCAGGGATCCTGTTTCTCTTCTGGACTTTCTGGATGCTTGTAGAATACATGTTCTACTTCATATCAAGTCTTCTTGTTTTACTCAATGGGGTTTTGGCACAATCGGATCAGAGTAGCCTGTCATGTCGCCGGATCGTCGATCCTCGCTCTCGTTTTCCGACTAAGATAAACTCGTAATAGTTCAAGCATATCAAACTGACATGCCTGTATGTCAACCTGTGATTGGTTTCAAAAAATGTGTAACTTAACAATCTTCACAACCCCTGTAATGCAAATTACCTGTGCTCACTAGTGACTAGCTTCGTGAGGAATCTTCTCCGAGTTCTAGTGGAAAGACGTGACCAGTGAAGTTCAATCTGTTCGGGTGTAGACAGTAACTACCGAAAACTCTGTATGAGGTTGCGCAACTCCGTGAATTTGATCAAGTTAGACATTAACACCGTTAGATACCGGCTCAGTGGTCTAACGGTTCGGGCGCTCGCGCACAATACCGAAGGTGCTGAGTTCGAATCCTGCGGGGTGCAGGAGTCATGGATACGCACTTTTGATAAGTCCCATACCAGGACGAAACGGCCGTCCAGTGCTTCTTCCAGTTTTCTAATAGTGGTCTAACATTGATCGATTCATGGTTTCAAAAAATGTGTAATCTGTAAAATGTAAAATGAAATAGGTTCTATTAATTAGCTTAATTTCTAATCAATAGACTGAAATATATATAATCTGTCATTACTTTCTACTTTGTTATTTTTTTTTTCTTCATATACTTGTCATGATTGTCTGATTTGTTTTTCTTCTTTGTCATATTGGATAGTTGTTAGTTTAAAAGTACACAGAAAAAAAAGAAAACTAATCATTTCTCTGTCCCATTTTCATTGTTTGTTTGTTTTTTTTCTTCTTTAAGTCAATTAATTTTAAAAATAGCTATTTATAATTATTCATTCATTCAATAATAATAATAATAATTCAGTGTATTTTTAACTTGTGTAATTTGACAATTCTATTTCCTGTTTGTTTTTACTTTCTATGGAGATTTCTTTGTTTCTTTCAAATGTTTATTATTATTATTATTATTATTTTATATGGTATATAATTAATTTCTTCATGTGATTTTATCTTTTGCCTTCTTTAAGACAAATTACTACTTACTACTTTCTTTGTTCTATCATTTTGTACAAGAAAGAAAAAAGTCAACGTGAAATTGTTTGCTAAATTCATCTATCCTACATCATTTTTGAAGTAATGATCAATTGTATATATTCTGCTTAACTTATTCTTAGCTAATGTTTGATTAGAATGATGTAAAGAGGATTTATTGATTCTTTGTCTTCCTATCGATCCGGAGCTTCAAAGTTATCTTGTACTTGTTTATTCTAAAAAAGAATTCATATATTCTAATCTTTTACACCACCACTGATACTCTGATTAACATCTATCATTCGGGATATCTCTCTATGCTAGTATGTTGTCGAGACAACTTGAAGTAATGCGTATAGGTGCCCATTTCCTGCACTGTTATGTGACTGACTGACTAACTAAATTATCTTTAAGTCTGTCACCAAACTCTCCTCTGTTCACCATGTGTAATAACTTAATTATGTACAAAGGAGATACTCATAATAAGTAAGCAAATCTAACGTAAACAGAATAAATTAGACTTCAAATTGCTTCAAATTCTCAGCGCAATGTGTTTAACGGTCTACCTCTTTTCCTTTGGCCTTGAGGATTCCAGGTTAGGGTTTGCCTCGTGATGCAGTTTGGTGGTTTTCTCAATATGTATCCCGTCGATCTCCAGTGCATTTTTTCTAATTTCTTCCTCAGCTGAAATCTGGTTTGTTTTTACCGTCAGTAAGTTGTTGCTGGTGTTGTCTGGCCAACGGATTCACAGTATCTTGCATAGAGAAATGTTTGCAAACATCTGTATCTATTAGATGATGACTCCACTCAATAAAACTGTCTTAACATTTGTATTGAAAATTTTGTCTTTGGTGTTGGTTCACAGTAGTTCTATGCTTGTAGAAGTGATGCCCTTGTTTTGTTAATCCTTGTCTTCACATTTGGATCAGATCCATTATGTCAATCAATGACGCTACCCAGATGTGTGGAGGTTCTTACATCCTCTAACGCGTCTCCATCAAGTGTGATTTGGTTGGTGCATATTGTGTTGTATCTAAGGCTCTTGCTTTTACCCTAGTGTATGCTGAGACCTGTTGTAGAGGTTGATGCTTCAGTGGCCGTCTTCATCTGCATTTGTTGTTGTGTGTAGAGTAAAAACGATGGGTCATCTTCGAAGCTCAAATCGTCTAGCTGCCTGCATTCGAGCTGTCCACTGTATTCTTTCCCTCCCCTAGAATGTCAAGGTCTCAGTTCACCCAACGTTAATTAATTTAAAGTTAACCAATCAGTGCGCTTCAACGTGATCTTGTTTGAAACATTCTGTAATCAAGTATTTGTTCTGTTACGATATAGTCGAATGATAATCACTGATTACACTTTATCGGGTTTATCAATCATTCATAGAATAAAAGATATATAAATTAGATCATGTATCTTGATTACTGTAACATTACTGCAACATTTGCTGATAATTTTACCATGTTAGTAGGAAAGCCTGAATACCTCTAGGTTTTTCGGTATGAATTACATATATTCGTTATAATTGTTCATACTAATGTGTAGTAAACAATTGTATAACTGTAGTAATATTTTCTTGTATAATTAATCTGAATAAATTATAAAGGTTCAACTTTGTCGATCTACAATCACAGAATATCGTTTGGTTATGGAATTCGCTTCAGGTGGTTCATTGCGTCAACTTTTATCCGAAGGTAGTTGGTTATCATTCAATCAAATATTAAAAATAGCTGATGATATTGTACAAGGTTTAGGTTTTCTACATAGTGATTTAGTGAATAGACAACAATCCAATGGTCATCAAATAATCTATGGTAAATGTCCAGTGGCTCATCGTGATTTAAAACCGGAAAATATATTAATACGTTATGATGGAACTGTTTGTTTATCGGATTTTGGACAATCTGTATGTTTGGCAGAGAATCCACCGAATAGTGCCACATCAACTAATTCATGTACAACATCATTACAAGATGTGTTAACTACAACTTATTCAGTTAGTTCAGCATTGGAATCTATGCCAAAGGTAGGATGTATTCTGGTTATTCCCTTTTTCCTGTATACTTTTTACTCATTGACTTGTTTCAAAACAATTAACTAATACTTCGAAATGATGAGCGAAACATGTGACTCAGATGAATAGATTTAAGGAGGCTAAGTTATTTAAGCTGGCTAGCCTGATTGTAGAACTTGTTTCGTCTTTTTAGACAAAACAATCAGGGTTTACTTCATTTAGCAATCAAAAAACTCAACACTGCCTGGAAGTATCTATTAATTTTGCGTTTGTCTTCTGTCTCTGTAAATCATGTATGGTGGTTGGGCTTGCTTATCGTGATGATCCGACGGAGCTACATTGGCTGAAAAACATGTTCCTTTTTAGTCCTACCATGCCAAGTAGGTCGATTCGAGAACGTTAAGACTAAAAGCTCCAACCTAAGGTCTCAGAGGTGTAACAGCCATAAGGTTTTTCCCCTCGATTACCAGCATCTGCAGCGATGCTCACAACGGAAGGCAGGGGTTAGAAAAAGTTTACCCTAAAAATGTCATACCTCACCGTACCTCATGGATTTCCGTCTCCAGCGGTGAAGCCAATGCCTAACTTCATACTCACAAGTAACTAGCTCTGAGGTTCAGCCCCTGGAATTTATAATTTATAAACTGTGGCCAGTGCAGTCTAACCATGTCGGTTATGAAACAGCTATCTACCGCGGGCAATAGATGAGGATTGTATAATATCGTGAAATGATCAAAGTTAGTTGTCAGTACCGTCGAATGCCCGTTTAGTAGCTTAGATGTTAAGTCTTCACGCACGAAATCGTAGGTTTTGGGTTCAATTCTTGGATATGAAGTCGTGGACTTTGGCTGTTGAGGAGTCTCATACTAGAATGGAGCGACCGTCTAGTACTTCTAGGTTTTAGCTAAGATGATTTTGTTATTTAAACTAGGAGCATCTCCATAAAATCCTCTTCACAAATAAATATTCACTCGTTTATAATTTCCTAACACACAAAATATTTCACCATTAACAGGTAAACTTCTTCAATAAGTACCGTGATTTAATCAAAAATTTGATTTTTTTTTATGTACAAATGTAAGTTATTTATAATTGAAATAATTAGCACTATTTTTTGGAAATCATTTCCAACCTACAAAATTATGTCATCTGACTGCGTCACTGCTACGAGAGAATTTCTGAACAACTGACTTAGTAAATTTATGAAGTATGCTTACTCTGGAAGTACGTGTATGACTAATTTGATTGACAACCGAAAATAATGGAATGTTGAATGATAGGATACCACTTGACAAAACTAATTCAGCTGTTATTTTGTGATGAAACTTCATCCTTCCAGAAATGTTCTAGTTGTATTTAATATTCAATAATAATACAAGATGATCGATAATTATTTTCAGAGTTATGGAGATTAGGGTTTTCACACACTGTTGTCATCGATCAATCAATCATTGTTACACCACCATTAGAAACCTGGAAGCACTGGACGGCTGCTTCGTCCTGATATGGGACTCATTAGCAGTACGCATCCACGACTCCCGCAAGATTCGAACCCAGGACCTTCGGTCTTGCGCGCGGACGCCTAACCTCTGAACCACTGGTACTGGTCCGGCATAAGACTGTGTTAATATCTAACTCTGATTCATCTAGAGATTTTGCGCAACATCACCGTGGATGCGCACTGCTGATGAGTCCCATACCAGGACGAAACGGCCGTCCAGTGCTTCCAGGTTTCTAATGGTAGTCGAACAATGATTGATTGATGATTCCAATGTGTACTTATATAATTGCATTATTGATGTAAGCCCACCATTGAACAGATAGCCATTCAACAAAATCGGCTTTTTTTAATAAATTCATTTGTATATCATTCTTTTTCTTCTCGCTTAATCAGGTAATTATTCATAATCATTTTTTGCTTATAGGCTGGCACATTAAGATATCAAGCCCCAGAAATTATTGATGGTGCTATTTCTTTTACTGGATGGGCTTTATTGCGTACCGATATCTATTCTTTAGGATTGATTTTATGGGAGTTACTTACAGCTGTTATTCTACCTGTTGATCATGAAAATACTGTAGAAGGCAATTATGAAACTGACAATATTGATTTTAAATTAATCCCCTCTCCTACAAATACATCCCCATCAATTAATTCAGATTTATGTTTGATGAATGGTTTACACTCTGAGTTTGACCATTTGGATCCATGCAGTCCTGTTAATGGGAATTATCATACACCGGAACATAGAAAAATGAAAAAACGGCATCACTGGTTACCGTACGAAAAAGAATTGGGCTCTTTGTGTAATTCGTCGGTTGCTTTACAACAGCTTGTCTGTCAAAAAAAATATCGTCCAGCAGGTCATCTGTCATGGTTTCATTCAACTGTACGTCGTTGATATTTCTGTGGTTTAAAGTTTATTCTTGAATTTTTTTAAAGTCCCTATAGGACGTTGAATTTTTTTAAACATTCAACCTTAAACGTTAGATTTCAAATACAACCATGTCTACATTTTACTACTGGGCCTGGTTAAGCTGTTATGTTGTATGTTATTAGGAAATTGTGTAGTAATAAAAATTATTTCGATCCTATGCTTAGTCTATGTAAACATAATTTTATACCTTGGTTTGAATACAGAATTCAACCACTTCCATTCACTTCCAACCGATAAGCTGTATTATTTCATAAGGTACATTATCCATCCATAAATCATTTTGTGACTTACAATGTAAGGTGGTGGTTGAAGGTAGTCGACCTAAGTTCCACCATATTTGACACTCGTTAGAAAGGTATATCTGTAATCTTGAGGGAACTGACGATCCCTGGCGAATCCGATCTCGTGTCACTTAGCTTCACAGTCACAGACGTTACCCAATGAGCTATCCGGGTCGCGTTTACCTGTAACAACCCCATTACAGCTCACAATAATGCATACGATATCGAGTTACCTAGATTAGTGACCGCTTTGCAACTTGATCGATAGGATCTGATCAGCGTTGAAAGGGATCTGATACATATGGCATAGGTCACTACTACCGGATGACCGGTTGATTGTAAATATAACTTTTAACATTTCATGCCATTATAATTGGTCAACAAGTTGATTATTTCCTGCTACAGTTTATATCTTCTTTTTGAAGATATTTATTAAACTGTAATGATTGGCTCATGTTAAATTAAGTACAGCTTAACTACTTCCAAAGCTATTATACATGTCAGGTCAATTGATCCTAACTACCATCTACATATGATGGCTATTAGTTAAAGTGTTCTAACTATTATACCATTTCTATGCTCGTATGTGGATAGCTACGCTGTGTGAATCACGACTTTGACTAATTTGGTCTCGTGTGCTGTTACGGGTATGAGGGCGGTTGTCACTTCCCGGCTGCCCACACCGTGGAAGGTTGTTTCTTGAGGGACCTGAAAAAGAAGGTAGAATAGCGTTGGTCTTAACGACCTGGGAGCGTGACCGCAGAGTCCAAGATACAACTGCTTTTTATGAAAGGTATTTAACAATAATAATAATAACATATATTCTGAAAATTAATACAGAATTGCACACAAATTTTTCAAGCGTAATCTGAGTACTCACAAAAACTGTTACATAATATTTAGTTTTCTTTTTTTTAAATCTGAATAAAAATGAATTTCAAGTAAATTTTTCGAGAAATTTAAATTTTTGAATATTAAAATAATAAGTCTGTTCAAGAGTTTAAACAAAAAGTTAAAGTTTGTAAAAAAGCTTGTCGACAAACTGCAACTGAACTAAAACTAATTTTTCTACTGAAAAAAAAACAAATCTGATCGTAAATATTTTTTTTCTGTGTTTACTTAACTGATCATCTTTTTGTCTTTTTTCTCTAAAATAGTTGATCACTCATTTTTATCGTACAATTAATGAATGCTGGGATCATGATCCAGAAGCACGTCTTACAGCTGATTGTATTTTAAAACGTATTCGATTTTTAAAAGGTCAAATGATGAACAAGACGAAAAAATCCGATATACAACAGTAAAAAACAATACAATTCATTCTATTCATGTATGTGTGTGTATGTATGTGTGTGAGTGTATACATGGTTCTCAGGTTGACTAAAACAGAAAGAGGAGATATATATATCATTGTTGTCAGTCAGGATGATCATCTTCTTCTTCTCTATGTGAGAACACACAACCATTGTCTTCTCACTTGTTATTTATACTTGTGTGTATAATAAACTTTTGTCACATTGTCTTGCTGTCTATTTCTTCTTGCATTACTTCATTTCAATTCTTCTTCATGTGTTCTTCTTTCTTCTATCTTTGTTATTGTTGTTGTCGTTGTTGTCGTTGAAATCTATATTCATTCCATTGTAGGATGCGATGTAGTAGGTGACATTTTCTCACCTCTATTTTATTGTTGATTTTCTAAGCGGAAAACATTCCTTGCCTTTCTTGTTTTGTTTTTCATCCTGTTCATTTTCTCACAGTACAATAGTACTAGTACTTGTAGTAGTAGTAGAAGTAGTAATAGTAATAGTAGTAATAGTAGTTGCCTTGGCTATTTCATCTTTCAATAATGTAATCTCAGCTATAGATAACATAACTTAGGTAAATAACCTACCTCCAGTGTAAATTCTTTTCTTTAACTAACAAACAATTAATTCATATTGTTTATCATTCTTCATCGTCATCATCATCCTCCTCCTCGTGGTCGTCGTCATCATCATCATCATCATCATCATCATCATCATCATGATCATTGTCTAATCAATTTGAACTACCTATTATTATTATTATTATTATTATTATTACTACCTTTTCCATTCTCTTCATTCAATGATTTCTTTAAGTTGCATCGTCAAGCTCAGGGTAAAATCGATGCATACACTAGTGTTGTAGCATAACTTTCATTATTATTATTATTATTATTATTATCATTGTTTATTCTTGTTTTTATTTTCATTCTACTCTTACTTCTCCCCCTTTTCTGTTGTTGTTCTTCTGTCTTTCCTTTTTATCTCATCTTAGTCAGGTTTTATTGATTTTGATGATAATATTTCTAGTCTGCGTCTATACATATATATATATATATAAATATACATATACATAAATATATATATATGCGCACTTTATTGTGTTTTTACCCGATTTGCTTCTGCTTCACTTGTGTGGATATTGATTGATATTCATTGTTTGTTTTTTTTTCTATCCTCCCTATAATGCACATTTTTTTTTTTTTAATTTTTCATTCATGATTTTTTGTTTGTTCTTTGAATGAAAAAACAAAAAAAAGAACCGAACAGAAAGAAGAAATTTCAGTTGATTTGTGCCGGTATTTGCATTTTTTTCTCTTTCTACCCCCCTCCTCTCCTCTCCTGTTTTACATTACTTTTTATCCAGTTTTCAAAAAAAAACAACAGGAAATTAATGATGAAGAATGAAGTTAGTGTGTATGTGTGTCTGTGTGTGTGTGTAATCACTGAACTCTTGGAAAAAAGGCATTTAATCATTGGATCATATAACCACTACCCGATATTTATTAATATATATTATGTATGTATATAATATTTATATTAGTTTTGTCATGTAATTATATAACAATTGTGATGATAATGACGATGACGATGATGATGATCAATAATTAATTTATACATCATGGCTCACATAATCAATTGTTTCTTCATTGAATTTCAATCTTACAGGCTGATTAACTGTAATAATAATAACAATAATAATGACTAAAATTTATCACTATTTCTTTTTTGATTCGTCTGTTTTCGTGTAAGAGAATACTCTAACAGTCTGTTATGCTCGTCACTTGATATGCTTGAAACTGTTACCGGTTCATCTTAGCCGATAAACGCGAACGAGACGATGAACCACTGTCCGGGTAGGCTACTCTGACCCGTTGACACAAAGGTATTAATGAAAAAGAGATGATATAGCGTAGAAAGTATATTCCACAAACACTCAACAAGCACAGTGATCTCAAGCACACAAATTGCGTTTATTTATACATCATAGAAACGTCGTTAGGAGAATCACAAAAATAGCACACTAAAATAACACATCAACCAATCACAACCAAGGATTTTCCTCGCGGGAAATATGATCTCAAGGTCAACTGATCAGTCCATGAATAAAATCCAAAATAAATACATTTACCAAGCGAGTGTTATCATTGCCGATGGATTAGCATTAATCAATCGATCATTGTTTATATCCATAGTGTTTTTTTAAAAGTTAGATTTGTAGTTTCAGTATTTAGTGAATGCACTGAATTATAGTTTAAGTGAAACTCTATGAATGAAATACACTGTGGACGATACAGGCAAATACCGTGCATGTTTTAGTGTTCATTGTCTGCTAAGCTTAGACGACTGTTGCGATCGATGTCCGTCACATAACTGTTTGGACCCAATAGTAGATGATAATCCTCAGAATCGGACATTTTTTGTCGGTTTTCTCGAGGTTATTATGTCGATTTGATAAAAAAATATTTGTATATTCTTCCAGAACATCAAAGATGAGTTTGTTCATTGGAAAAGCAAAAAAGTTGAATGTTCACCGGGAAACCAGTTGGTTTCGATTAATACTTAATTTTTTAGGTTATTTTAACAATATATTATCTAATATTAGAATGATACTCTACACGCTACCTAGTTTATTCATTCTTACTTGAAGAAAAAGTGATTATAAGCGAATCACTCAGATATTGTTTGCTTAGAATTCCTCAATTTTAATCATACTGTATAGAGGAGGTATGTTCATGTTTATTAATTATAGCCGTTGAATTTGAATGTAAGTAAAACAATCTTCAATAGCCAATCAGATAGAATGATTAAATAGGTAATAACGTATTGATTATTACTCAATGTTAGTGTAAACATTCATTCATTCATTCCACCTTATATTTCTTTTGAGTAGATAATTTTGGTGAAATGTAAATATTCATCAATATTTATTATGTATGCATGTAAACCATCTTTCTATAACCACACTCGGTATTTCTAAACAAAATCAATCATGCTGAGAGTTTGCAGATGAGTACTAGTGTAAATAATCAAAAGGAGAGTTTGTGGTTTTATTTAGAAATGTGAATATATTATTCGGTTACGTAGGTATAGTACTGCATAGAAGTAAATGTCTCTGGAAGAAAAAAGACAAAGTATTAGGTGCCTGTTTCATTGTTGTTTGAACTCAAAATTGAAGGCTTTATTCACTCTTTCATCTGAATAAATTTTTATGAAAGTAATCATATTATTTATTTGATAGTTTTCTTATTTAGAGTGTTCGCTGCGAAACTTCAACCAAGTAACTCTTTAAAATATCATGTAGTCATTGTTCATGGCTTCCAATGCACTCCCCTATCAATCAACAGCAACGTAGAACATCGTACGTATGTACGTATATCAGTTCAAGTTGCCATACCATATTAAGACATAGATATAATTGTCAATTCAAATCCCACATTAGTAAAGGCAGTAAAAGTATTAGTAGTAATTGGAAAGATTAGGCTAAGAAGATATTATTCAAGAAGTAGAATCTACTGAAATAAATTTAAAAAGATAAAGTGATGAGGAATTCAGAAGGTTAGAATTTGAGAGAACACAAAGTATGAATGCACCTGCACCATCACAAACGATTTTGAGCCATGTCATCCAAGGTCTCTAACGATCGATCACTATCATGTCGCGGACTTCAACCAAGTATTCGACGCCTGCCGACATGACTCAGTCCACTTGTCAGTGACTTCATGGATTTGTGCAATGTTTTGGTTTGGTCGCCCCTAGCTTCCTTCCATCCTATTCCTATATCGTAAAACATAGCTCGACGAGGTAGTCGGTGGTTAGGCATACGCAACACATGTCCTAACCACCTCAACTGATGAAGTCTTAGTACTTCATTTATTAATTCGGCATCCCAACCTAGTACTCATTCCCGAATAACAGCATTGCTTACTCGGTTTTCCCATGATACACGAGCAATGATTCGGACACACCTTTACTCGGAAACAGGCAACCTACGAATATCCTCTACTCTTACTGGCCATGTTTCATAGCCAAAAAGTAGGACGGAGCGATGTACTGCACTGTGCACTCGTCTTTTAGTCAACAACAAGGATATCTCGCATGCGCCATAAGTGATGCAGGTTGGCAAAAGCCAATCGAGCTTTCTGTATCCGTGCTGAGATTTTTTCACACACCAGGCCATCAGCACTGATTGGGCTTCGGAGATAAATGAAGCTGTCAACATGCTCAACTGCTTCACTCCCCATCACTAGTTCGGGTGCCGATACATGCCAATACTGAAGCAACATTTTGCATTTCGACGGAGAGAATCGCATCCCAAACATACATTCCCCTTTCATAAATATTAGCCCAAAATAGGTATTCATTTTTATCTTAGTTTTCAAAAATGTCTAGCCACAGTCACCTTATGATATAAAGATCATGTTCATCTAAAAATTGCTTTTTTCTAATTTATAGCAACGTAATTGTAATACACTTAAACCTCATACCTGTATAATGGCTAGTCATAACTAAATTATTTAATAAGTATCTATTTCCTTCTAATAACCTAACTTTCTGACTATTGATTTTGTACAGCTGGACTAACTATTTTTCCTCAAAAAGTTTTTATCTTGAAAAAAGATCACCCAGACATTGAAAGCTTCAATTGAAAGTTCATACACCCAATAAATACTTGTTGATATTTAATCAACTGTGTTTTAAAATAAGTTATTATACAACAAAGCTAAGTTTTATTATGTAAAATAAATGACAAATGATATATATATATATATATATATATTACACTCTTTAATACGAACGACTAGTACTCTATGGTCAATACTTTCGTACAAATTCAACATCTCCAAACATCGTTTATTTACAATCCCTGTTTAAATTAATATGGTTAGATTAAATTTAACATTTATGACTTGCAATACTATGTTTAGAAAATATACAATTGGTAAGGTTTACTAAAAATTTATCAGAGCATCAGTTATCAGAATTGGTTATGTCTGTTTTCATCTAGCCGACGAAGTGAAAGTCATTAGTTGCTCTGATTAGGTAGTAAAGTTACTTGTAGAATAACAGTGATCAGCTACAATATTTGTATTATCTACTGTTCAACTGTTCGAATATTACATTGATTTGAACCCTAAAAAAAAAAAGAAAATTAGAAATCGTTTACTGTGTGTAACCACTTCAGTATTAAGGAAACGTTTACAACCTATCGTAATGATGAATGCTAGAAATCTGAAACTAAAACACTTTACCTGTTGGCATCTTTTCCCTTTTACTTATTTACCCATCAAAAAAAAGCGAGTGACTATAATAATATGCTGATTAGTGAGAAAAAAATTAGTCATAAAATATAAATTTTGGATAATTACAACTCGGATGTAAGTGAAGGAGGGATTTAGTGCACAACTGATCCAGGGAATACTTTACTGTAACCAAATTTATGAGAACAAATTATGCTATTATTATTATTATTATTATTATTATTATTATTATTATTACTGTTATTATTATTATGAACAATGACAAGAATGAACATGTATTGTTAGGATATTCATCCAATATCCTAATAGAATTATTGGTCAAACCCTATTGGTCGATTTCTATTGGTCAAAATTATGGTCGTTTCAACTGTCAATGCCACAGAATTCGATGCTGTTTCCTATTTGACCAAAATGTATAAATACGCATTGTCTGTAACATTTTATGATCACGAC